TTTAAACATGTGCAAATAAATAAGTGATAAAAGCACGGGTTGTTACATAAGACCCGTACAATAAAGACTGATACGACAACTAAATTAAATGAGTAGTATGAGTATTATGTAATTAGATATTAACCTTTGGTGTTTTATGATTTGGAATATAATGTTAAACACTTAAAAAAGCCTAATAAATAGTGTCAAATTTTATAATTGTAATTTGTACATATTTCTTTTTAATACTAAAAATTAAAAAAAAGTTTTCCGAAAAATGAAGTCAGATAAAATGAGGAATCCATGAACTTGTAGGGATTTTAAATAGTTCGTCTGGTCTGGTCCCAGTTCGAATCTTGTTCGGTAGCTCATTCGTCGTCCAAACCCTGACAAAAATTCATACTGACATCTGGATATAATCCTTAAAAAAAAAAAAAGTTACGTATGAGTTTAAATTTTCATCAAAGTCCTATGTTTAAAGTTAGAAGCCTATGGTCTTTCGATTCGTTGAATATTAGCAAATTACAGTGAAAAATCTAAAACTATAATTTGGATGTGAGCTTTGAATAATTTGGTAAACTGTATACTTATTAATCAAAGATGTAGCAGAAATGGTATATTAATGCTTTCGATTATAATATACGCTATTTAAATTTTGGGGGTGATAGATTCAAGTGGTTTTTTAGGCTCGTGATAGTTTTGTATAATATCTGATCGATTCTCTTGTAAAATATTATTTGATCGATTCTCTTGTAAAATATTATTTGATCGATTATCTTATGAATTTTTTAATCGATTTTCTTGTAGATTTTTTGGTCGATTCTCTAGCACTAATCATTTTTCTTGCAGATTATTTGATCGTTTTTTTTTGCAGATTATTTGATCATTTTTCTTGCAGATTACCTGATCGATTTTCTTGAGGATTACTTGATCGATTTTCTTGCAAATTAGTTAATCGTGATTTATGTTGCTGGTATGCAGAATTCCAAGGTTTGTTAATTTGATGTGGTGGTTTAAAGATGGGCTTAGATTGTGAATCTCTTGAAGTTTTTTGCTATTTATATGTAGTAAAATTTGTTCAGATGAATTTAAACTATCTACAAAAAAAAAAAAAAAAAAAAAATTCAATGTCATGGTATTGTAAATTACATATATCCCCTCCACGAAGTCCACATAATGACAACCAAAAAATAATTCGCCTAATTAATCCTTCATTATTATCATTTGATAAATATTTATGATTTAAATAATTAGTGTCACCATATCCATCTATTTGTAGAAATCGCATTTTCCCATCATAACCAAGGCACTTCAAAGCTTTAAGAAAGTAATATTTGTCCCATATTCATAAGCCATTTCATACTGAATTATTTTCTCTCAAATAGCATGCTAGTGCTGCGTAACAGTTATGTACTGATTTTTACTTTGAAAGGTTTTCCATCTTTTCATTTTAACTAGGCAATAAACAGACTAAGAAATTCGTCTAGTTCCTCTAGTTTTTTGGGATGTTTTGTTCTTTTATAAATCGATCTACATGACGAAGCCATTTTTCAGTATTTTTATCAGTGTTTGCAACTCTAGAAAGGTTAGATAAACGGTGCACTTCATCTTGTAAATTAGTTGACATTTTAACAAGAAAGAGAAAGTTATTTTTTAAATCGTTAAAAAATTATCTTTTATTTAAAAAATCAATCACTACTTTTATCAGTTTAATTATAGTCTTAAGGGACGTGGGTTGTTACGTCAGACTTGTACAATAACTATAACTTACTTCCGCGTCTTTAATCCTCTCTTAATCGTTATAATTTCGGACGAGTGTTTTTTTTTTTTTTTATCCGTGCTTTTATTTGTTCGTTTCTGACTATACGAAGAAATATTCTAAATTTTTTGGTTTTTTCTTCAGTTTTTTTTTTTTTAGATACAGTAAATTGATAATCTATGATTACGTATTAATGATATCTGTTTGAAATTTATAATTGATCATTAAACCAAGTACGAGACAAACAGGTACTTCTGGTTGGCTTAATTGCGGAATATTGTACCTTGGTAAATTTGGCAGAACCGAAAAAATCGATCAGCTAAGCCGATAATATTTGCTTTGGCCGATTTTTCGGATATACTATACAAAAATGAAAAAAAATTAATTCTAAAAATTTAGAGGCTGCGTTCTGTACATGTTAATATGAGACTTGCGTTGACAGAATTAAGTACATTCATATTTATAAAAATGCGGATATTAGAATAAAGATCTTTGTTGTAATAATATTTTTTTAACGTTAAAAAAAAAAAAAAAAACAATAATAAATGATAATATATAATCATTAAAACTTTTAATTAATATAAAAAAACCGAAACATCGTAAACTTTATTAAATTACTGGTTAGTTTTTTTTTTTTAAATATTGAGCATAAATTTTTAATAGTTTAAATTTAATATTGTCGAATATGCAACCCTTTCAACTTACGATAAATAAATTCAACCGGTAACTTTATACAAAGTAATATCATAATTCATATTTTTACAAACATCTTATCAATCACTTGGCATTAAAATACTGCCCTATAAGAAATCACTGCACGGGTGCACGGAATTTTGTGTACGAGATAACACTAACACGTAAATATATACGAGACAGTGACCGAACAGCACGTCTAAAGCACGTAAAAAGGCGCGGATTCTGTGCAACACTTTTACGTGCTTTCCAGTATATTTTTACGTGTACTAACGTATCTTCTTACACAATGTTCCCCATGTTTTGCCTTACAATTTCGTATGATTACGTGTTTGAATTTTTTTCATTATTTTTTCGATAATTAGTTTCAGTACAGTTCAGTATAAATTTCCGTGTACTGTATTGATTGAATTACGTGCTTTACCTGTGTCAAATTCCGTATTTGTACGTACTTTTCCGTGTACTGATTTTTTATAGGGCTGTAACATAGCCACCTTGTCTTTTTTTTTAGTATTTATAAATTCTTAAGAAAAAATTAATTTTAAAGGTAGAAAATTGACATTCTAGATTAAAGTCTAATTGTTTTTCGAATATAAAAAAAAATTTTTTATTATTAACGGTCATAATAAAATTGGAACTTTAAAATACATAGTCCATGTTCCCTAAAATTAAACAGAAAAGTAAAAAATTGTTGGGATTTTTGGTACACTATATTTTTATATTTTATATTTTCCATTCCCCCCTTGAACAAATATGAAAAAATTTAACGAAATTAAACGGGTTATCAATATCTTTAAAGATGTACAATTAAACTATTTTTAGTTTGTATACACTATAGAAAAAATTATTCCGCAATTTTTTATCTTAACTATCGTTGTCTGATAATTGATAAATATGAGATGATTTATCTTTACCATGTATCCTATCAAGAGCTTCACAAACATATTCATCAAAAGGTCTAAAACACATTCCTTTATTATCCTCAGAAATCGCTACTCCAATAACCGCAATGACATCAAGCGAAAGATCTTCGTTAACGTTATAGATTCCACCACATTCCTCAATAAATTTATGCTTATAATATCCAGCTTGACGAACGGCGAAACTCATTCTAAACTTTTTGTCATCTTCATTTTGATTTCTTTTAATATCAATGATAGCAAATATGCCTTTACCATTGGTAATAATCAGATCGGTCTTTCCTTTATTTGAAGCAGGAACCCACCCGTATTTTAAAAGGTAATTAAACCCTGGAAAAATTGTTTCAGTTTCTCCGAGTTCGTCAATCAACTTTCTATGCATTTGCCATTCTTCATCTCTATTGTCTTCAGAAACTTCATAAAATTTGTTTCTTTCACTTTCATCTATAGATTCGATATTTTCATTGAGACTAAAATTATCACTAATATATTCAATTGATCGATTAATTATTTCTCGTTCATTTTCTTTGGACCAATACCATACAACAATATGTTGTATATTAGAGATAACTCCTAAAATTTTGATAAAATTTTCTTCTTTGTTTTTATTAAAGATTTTTATAAAATCTTCTGGTGGACAATTATCAATTGGAAATTCAATTGATGTTTCATCTTTGTGAAGAGCATGGAAAAGACATTGGAACCATTCTTTGTGTGGTTGTCCATTTTCACTACTCATTGTTTTTTTTTTTTTTATATAAAGATATATATTCAAGAGCTAAATTTGCGCCGATTACAAAAGAAAATGAAAAAAATGATTACAAGATTGTGTCACCTTGACACAAAGCTTAAATAGTCGAATCGAAGTACCGGTACGTAATAATAGATAAACACAAATAGTACCAAAAACAAGAAAATTTAAAAATAAGAATTTGAACCCGTATTTTTTTTTTTTAAGATGCGAATTAGCGTTAGAGTGTTAGAGTTGCGAAACTAAATTAAGCTGGTGAAACTGGTGACTATCTAAAATCTGATTGGCTAAATTCTACGAATATTTTTTACAAACAGCCATTTTTGAGATATAAATATACCCGGTGATTGAGATAAAATAAATTAAATAGTATCGGTATATTTACCACATGTAGGGTGAGTGGCACGGCTAAAAATTTGCCATGTCAATACCTAACAAATTTCATGCCAGGATACCACCATGGCACGTTATCGAATAAACTATTCGTAAATCCGTAAATCCTGAAAATTCTCAACAACCTTGCTTGTCTTTTATGTTTATTGACCATCTATTATTCAGAAATAAACTTCATAGTATATAATAAGATCACATGCTTTTGGCCGAATTTATTATTGGTGCCCAAAATGTCATACAAAGTAAAGTCTAATACTACGTATAGTTACACCATAAAGTCTAGTCTATTTTCTATATTATTATTTTTGTATATATATACCACTACGATACAAGTAATTGTCTTTAGGCCGTTTTATTTTGGTGCTATATGCTCTTTGTAAACACCTAAACATCTCAAAGGTTGAAAGTTGTAAGACAAAAACAACAACAAACACACATGCAAAACAACATCTCATTCTTTATGACAAATACTCAACCTTCTGCAGACAATGTTATCATGGATGACCAAGATTTGGACGAAGTTCTTGACACTAATGAACCAAGACCTTGGTTTCCCATTGGGGACCTTAAGAACTTACCTACTGAAATTTATTCAGATTGCACACTTTCAAGAACAGAACATCAGAAAATATTACATGGTAAGCCACGAAATGCTGAAGTCAATTATAAACCCCCACAAATGGAATCATATTTTTTACGTGCTATGTCAAAGCAACAAAAAGAATTTGACAAGGTCATCAGAAATATTTCTTACTGGACTTCTGCTATTCTGTGCCCTATTGATAACATCAAAAAAGCCTTATATGAATCTAAACCAGGAGATGATGATCAAGAGGCCAAACAAGGATATGAATTGCTTCGAAAGTCAACTCAAAATGCTAGAGACCTCTTATGGGATGCGTTATCATATACCAATGACTTACGAAGAGAAATTGCACTTAAAGCTATATCTTCTGCTCATGTCCCGACCAAAGATAGGAAAGGTGTGTTCAGTGACAAGTTCAAAGACTTGGTTGAAGAAGAAAATACCAAGTCTAAGCTATTTAATGATGCCAATAAAGAAAGACGCAGGTTTTATTCCTCTAACAAAATCAACAGTCACAAACTTACCCTTTTAGAAGGATCACGTTTCAGAATAATCCCAGACGATCAGATTGGGATCGCTTCAGAGGTTTCAATAAAACAAGAAAAGCAAAACCAAATAAGAAAAACTTTCAACTAGACAACTAATGAGGCAGTCGTCTATAACACTATGCCCAATACCAGGATGGTTACAGCACTTCAAACAGAATTGGTTAATAAGGTTTGGGGATTCATAGCTAACATCAATAGTAAGAAACGGGTATTCCCCTGAATGGAACCACAAATCTCCTTTAAAAATCTACTCGATAAGAGGCAATTTCTTAAAGAATGTAGATTTAGACCTAGCCAAAAAAGAGATATTATCTCTATATCAGGTACAAGCCTTACAACCCTTTCTAGTACAGTCTCACTACTACATCTCTAACATTTTTATAGTCAACAAAAAGGATGGGAAAAAGTGAGTGGTCTTGGATCTATAATCCTTAAACAATTTTATGAAACACACGAATTTCAAAATGGAATCTATAACTATAGTAAAAAACTTAATCAGAAGAAATGTCTATTTGGCTTCTATAGATATAAAAGATGCATTCTTTTATATACCTTTATATCCTTCTGCTCGAAAGTACTTTGTTTTCGATTTTTTGAGACAATGTTACTGTTTCAGATGTCTCCTGTTCAGCTTGACCTCTTGTCTCAGAATATTTACAAAGGTTCTGAAACCCATTCTAAAGGTACTAAGGCAGAAAGGGATTTGAATCATAGCATACTTGGATAACTTACTGATAATAGCGAACAGGAAAAAAACCTTGATCTGGCATCTCAGAATTGTGCAGAAGCTTCTGACTGAATTAGGCTTCGTGATAAATACACAGAAAAGCCAAATGGTACTCACTCAATCTATAGAATACTTGGACTTCAAAATAAATTCAAGGGATATGATTATAGTTCTTCCAAGGAAAAAGACAAATTTATTATTACGAGAATGCAAGATAATCACAAAGATGCACAGGATTCATGTCAGAAAGCTAGCAGCAATTATAGGGAAGCTTCTAGTTACGACATGTGCAGTATACCTAGCAAGGCTAAAGTCTTGAGAGCTGCTAAGGCTGAAGAATGAAGCTATAAAGTCAGGAGGCTGGAACACTTTTTTAGATCTATCAATAAAAGCAAAAGAACAATTACAATGGTAGGTAGACCAACTGCAAAATTAGAACAGATAATTAATAATTCCAGAAATACCATCAGTAACAATACATACAGATATATCACAATACGGCTAAGGTATTTATAGAGGAAAGACCTTGATAAATGGATTGTGGAACAAGGAAGAACAGAAACTACACATCAACTTACTAGAAATGAAAGTGATTCAATTTGCAATAATGATATTTAAGGACTTAATAGGAAAGTCAGTTCTGATCAAGACAGACAATCTAACATATGTGGCATATCTTAACCACCAGAGAGGAGTAGTCTCACCGGAGATCAGCTCAGTAGCAGAAGCAATTTGAGAAATGTGCCTCAAAAGGAAAATCAGGTTGAGGGCTCAACATGTGCCAAGAATTCACAATGTAATAGCAGACTATGCATCCTGACTCTGCTTCAACAAACATGATTAGATGCTGAACCCCAAAATATTCCAAAAGATACACAACAGGTGGAGCCTATTCAGAGTGGATCTGTTCGCGAACAGGCTCAACACTCAATTACCAATGTATTACTCATGGCACCCTGATCTAATAGCAACAGCAGTAAACGTATTTGCACAACTATAGTCAGAAGCAATAAACTATGCAAATTCCCTATGGATATTGATACCGAAGATTTTAGCTAAAGCTCAGAAGGAACGAGCCTCTATATGCCTAATAACACCTCTATAGACATCAGCGAGCTGGTTTCCAGCTCTAATAGATATGATAATAGACTTACCTCGAGTCCTACTGACAAAGAACCTCTTACTCCTAGGCCTGATATCAGGCACCATACCTCAACTGAGAACAAAGTATCTAATGTACGCATAGCTTATCTCCAGTAGCACCTCCAAAAGAAGGGCATTTCTCAACAAGCTATCCAGCTATATGTTAAGGCCCTCGACCCAAATTAAACTAGTACTATATCATCCAATATATGTATCTGAACCTCATGATGTACAGAGAATTCTAAGAATCCTATTTGTTGCCCTGTGAGTGACATCATATAATTTCTTACTATATAAACAAATGAAGAAAAATCATACAATACTATCACTACATATAGATCTGCCATAAGTAAAATACATAAACCTGTCAACAACTAACTGATTGAACAGAATCAAGATATAGCAAATTTAATGTTAGGCATATTTAGATCAAATCTGCCTTCTGAACCAAGGGATGAGATATATGATATCACATAGTCTCTGGATTATATTGTATCCTTAGGAGATAATGATCATGTACTTCTAATAACCCTTACAAAGAAAACAGCCTTTTTATATGCTCTTTCATCAGCTTGTCATCCCTCTGACCTTGCACAATTAGATCTAACTACCATTAGATTTATTCAAAATGGTATTACTATTGAGTGTATAAATCTGAAGGAAGTTAATATTGCCATAGGATATAGAATTAATAAAAAATGCACGAAGAAGATATTTATTGGTAAATATCAGGAAAGTACAGAATTATACCCAGCTACGACTCTACAACATTATATGACTAGAACAGAAGAACTTCAGCATTCTGAAGACCAAAAAACTGTGTTGTTCTTATCTAATGTAGGCTTTCACAAACCAGCAGTAGTCGATACTATCGCTAATTAGCTAAAAGATATTGTTAAAAAGTCTGCGCCTGATGGGAAAGCCAAAGACATCCAGGTATTATCGGCATTACTAGCTCAGAATACAAGAGCTGACTTAAACTCAATTCTGGTATTAGGCAATTAGTCAAATTTATACACATATAATATTTTTACTAACGAGGTATCAAATTGATGCTAGAACAAAATAACATTACTCAAAAAATTATGAATCAAGCTAGAGGATCGTAAAATAATTTACTTTAAAGAAACATGTGATCTTATTATATACTATAAAGTTTATTTTACTGAATATGTGAGATTTATTGAAATGTATTTGGAAATAAACAAATAGTATATAATAAGATCACATACTCCCTCTCTTTTATTACTAATTTAGTTTAGTCCTACCTGTTAACTTTATAAAACAGCCTAAAGACAATTACTTGTATCGTAGTAGTATATATATACAAAAATAATAATATAAAAAATAGACTAGACTTTATAGTATAACTATACGTAGTACTAGACTTTACTTTGTATGATATTTTAGACACTAATAATAAATTTGGCCAAAAGTATGTGATCTTATTATATACTATTCATTTATTTCCAAATGCATTTTGATAAATCTCATACATTCGGTAAAATTTCCTAACAATAAACATATATATATATAGAATATATAAGTGACATACCTTATAGCTATTTTATTTTCAGACATTCCTATGGCATGCTCGTGACTACTATACCACTCATCTTAATCACATGATATATACAATAAGATTATTATATATAAATTTGTACAGTACTAAAAATACTTGTTAGCATACTTCATAAAAATTTTATTTGAAGTTTGTAATTCACTATATATTGATTTTAGGTTTTTCTATAAAGTTTAAATAATTGTTAAAAGTAAAAAAAAAATAGTTTAAATATCAAATTTCGTTTATCTAACCCTTTAAATACATTCTAATTTCTTGTTGCGCTATGCTAAGATTATAGTATCATACTACTAGTTCTGGTTTACATATACTTTTCTCATCATATTTATACAACCATGTATACATGCCTAGGGAAAATTTACATGAGTTAAGCCACTAAGAATAAATAATACTATAAAGGTAAGATATAAAATAGTGTGACATAAAAGTAACTCTGTAGACATGTAAGGTCGAGGTCAATATGCCACAGTATTTGCATATAGTTAGGGATGGCAAATAATTTAAAATACAATGTTTTATGTAAATAAATATTATATTGCTTTAAAATGTTTTTTTTTATGATTTAAATCATCGTCATTGATAACTAGATAAATTTATTTCAGATCATGTGATGTGATTTTAATGAACATCATTCTCATTATATCTGATCTCATAATATTACAGCAATACTGAAATTAAAATTATCCAATCAGGTGTAGTTTCAGCCATCAGCGTCATAATCAACAATATTTTAAAACATTTTATTAAATCAGGTTAAAAAACATAAAAATCATTAAAAAGCAATTTTTTACTATTCCTACATATGGTATAAAGGTCCTCTGAAAATACTGCACTTCGATATAGTACGATGTCCTATTTTTATCTTGTTAGTCTTAGTATAAACATGTATAATTAAAAGACTTAGTGTCAATCCTTCCTCATATTTAGTTATAGAAATTCGATAAATTCAATTTATCGAATTTATCAGATTAATGGCATAAATTCGATAAAATGATTATATTCAAATTGTATCTACTAGTATTGCAGAAAGTAAAAAGTGATACCTTTTACTCTCAATAAAAAAAAGCAGCTCACTTCAGATTTGAGAATAAAACCCTTCGCATAATAATTCCAATAACACATTCATTTATAATTAATTACCACTCTTTGATAAAATATAAACTGATCTTGACTCTAATAAATCTGGATCAAATCTTTCACAGCCTTTCACTATTAGGTTTATAGTTAGTTTAGTAGTAGATTGTAGATATTAGTTGATGAGACTAACTTTCAGATCCTAGATTTTTTTTTGCTCTCAACAATTTAGTAGTGATTATAAGATATGATATGATCTTAAATGAAAACTAACTTGTGAGATACAATACAACTTTATCTAAAAACCAACCTGTGAGATTAGACTAACCTAACCAACAAGAAACTATAAAATCAAACATCTAAGATAGGAATTGGTAAGGATATTTATAATAATATTAAGAAGTTAAAAGATCAACAAAAATTATTAGCTTATTACTAATATTTTAGAAAGTGAAAATTAGTATAAAAATAAAATTCACACTGCTTCAGTCAAGATGTTAGAATATAATAAACTTAGCAGAAGACTAGCAAAAATTAAACTACTATAGAACAATTAGGCAATATAATAAAACATTCTATATCTACTATTATTTAACTATCAGAAACTACTATGCATTTGGAAGATTATATTTCTGCAGTATACTATATATAATCCAGTTTTATAATTACAATTTAGTAATTAACTTATCTGAAGACTTATTAATACTATAAAAACAGATTATTAAAAGAGTTTAACAAAAAGTTGTTTAATAAAAGTTTTTAAATATATTTGGAATCAACCTTAGAATAGAAGAGAAAATTGTTAGTATTAACTATACTTACTAATTCTTAACTTAAAATCTATAATACAATTATAATTTAGAAATAATCTAGCTTAAATATAATATTAAAATAAATCTAGATTAGATTATTAGTATCTTAGTATTAACTTCTAAGAAAGTGATTTAAAAATTTAAATTAGCAAAAGTTAAGCAAAAAGTTAAAAAAAAATTTAATCTTATAAAAAGCAAATAAAGATTAATATTATACAAAACTATACTAAATCATATCTTATTTCTGTAATAAGCAAAAATCTTATTTATTAGATTAATAGTATAAATTTAATAAAATAATTAAATTTAAATTATATCTACTAGTATTGCAAAAAGTATAAAAGTAATACCTTTTACTTTTAATAAAGAAAAGCAGTTTATGAAAAATTTTAATAAATAATCTCAGATTTGAAAATAAAACTTTTCATATAATAATCTCTAATACTATATTTATTTATAAATATTACTTCTCTCTTTTTAATAAAATATAAACTAATTTTAACTCTAATAAACTTGAACTAAATCTTCTATATCTTTTTAGCTTTTTACTATTAGAGTTATAATTAGTTTAGTAATAGATTGTATATATTAGTTAATAAGAATATTATCTCAACTTATCTTTAAATTTTAGACTTCTTTTTATTCATAATAATAGATATTGTTAACCTATAAAACATAAGAAAAAACACAAATTCCTTAATATCTTTCGATCCACCAGTCCGAATTGGATGAAACACATACCATTAGAATCAGCTCAC